TTATTTGAAAGTCAGAGTTACAGAGAGTGATCTTCCAACTGCTGCTTCACTCCCCAAAAGGCTGCAATGCCCGGGGCTGGGCCAGGCCAAAGCCAGGGACCAGGAGCTTCCTCCTGGTCTCCCACATGGGTGCAGGGGCCCAAGCATCTGGGTCGTCTTCTGCTGCTTTCCCAGGCACGTTAGCAGAGAGTTGGATCAGAAGTGGGGCAGCCAGGACACGAACCGGCGCCCATGTGGGATGTCGGCGTCGCAGGCGGCAGGTTTACAGGCTACACTACAACGCCGGGTCCTGGAACTGGCTATTGATGAGGACTACTAGAGGACCAGGCCCTCCCTGGTCACAAGGGTGTATCCAGCACTGTGTGTGTGGTGGGCTTCCTTTCCACCCAGGCCAGCAGACAGGGAGGAGGGCTCGTCAGCCTGAGCCGAGCGAGCGCCGCCACAGGCTTCCCGTGCCAGGCCAACCTCTCGTGCAGTCTGAGCAGCCCTCCGCATCTGAAGGAGGCAGGCTGGTTCAGCAACATCAAAGGCCTTGGCAAGGCTGCTTCTGCTTTTTGAAGAAGCTACAAGGCCAAACTGCATTCCTAGCGGCCCCTGGTGGCAGCTTTCCAGAACTGCATGCTAATTGGAAACTTGGCAGGGGACCCAGTCTTAGAATGACCTATATTCAGGGACTTGGGGGTCCAAGGGGCCTAGTTCAAATCTTCACTTGATGAATGAGGATACCAAGTTGCAAAGGTAAAGTGATTTGCCCAAGGTCACACGAAGGCCTCACATCGCTCTGTCCACAAACCCTGCCCACGGTGGTTTCACGTGCAGTTTGGGATCTTGAATGTGGAGGAACACATGAGGACCCAATTTCTACATTAGACTGTGGCAACCTTCAGAGTGGACCCCAAGGGGCTTTCTTCCCTACACCTCGCTTCTCTTATATCTGTGAGAGCCCCTGTCCGGGCATTTACCAAGTCATAAACTCTGCAGGTAACAGGGCTGAGGCCACCAAGCGCCCTGGAGGGTACTCCGCCACTTTAACACACGGGCTTCTCGGTGCCTCCTCCTCCACCTGCTGCAGGAACTGAAAGGGACCACAGTGACGGCTCAGACTGCCTCTATCTGGAGGTAGGAGCCATCCGCCTTGTGTGTGGGAAAGCTATGTTGACGTATTCTGGAGCCACGATCCAAAAATAAACCAAGCCGAGGACTTCCAGAGGGCTTGGTGGCCAGGCTGCGCTGCCGTGTCAGCTGGAGCCCGGGTCCAGCTATTTCTGCAAATGTGCCTCAACCTTTTTCTGCTGGAGAATCCGTTTTCCTTCTTTCTGCAGTGCCTCAAAGCACAGCACAAGGTGCTAAGCAGGCTCACAGAGGGGGATAAGACGTGGTCTTTGCTCTCCGAGCTCAGCCCCCTGGAGGGAGGAGCCAGGCTGCTGATGGGCTGAGATGGAGGCAGGAGTACTTGGCATTAACAATAGCAGCTGGCCATGTTCTCGGTGTTTCCTACCTGCCGGTTCCTATGCTAGCTCATTTCTCCTTTACGGTAGCCCTAGGAGGTTAGGACCATTATTGCTATCTTATAGTTGAGGAAACTAAGGTTTATGTTCAAGTTCACATTACTGCTAAGTGGCGAAGCTGGGACTTGCACTCCAGTGTGGCTGCAGGACCTGCTTCCTTCGATGTCGTAATCACTGAAGCCACTTCTCCACTCATCCCGTGGCGCTAACAGCCTGCACTTTTATCTTTACCCACTGTGGCCTACACCAGAATCCCAGTGCCAAACCCCATGTCTGACATCCACGCTGTACTGACGCAGGGAGAGAAGGACACTGGTCTTTGGCTTTGTTTTTTGTATTTCTTTCTTTCTTTTTTTTTTTTTTTTTTTTAGATTTATTTCATTTGAAAGCCAGAGTGATGGAGAGAGAGAGAGAGAGAGAGAGAGAGAGAGAGAGAGAACGAACAAAAAACAAAGTGGGAAACAGAGGGAGATCTTCAATCTGCTGGTTTACTCCCCAAATGTTCACAGCAGCCAGGTCTGGGCCAGGCTGAAGTCAGAAGCCAGGAACTCCATTTGGGTCTCCCACATGGGTGGCAGGGGCCCAAGCACTTGAGCCGTCATCATCTGCCTCCCCAGGTCTATCACAGAAGCTACACTGGAAGCGGAGGTCCTGGGTCTCAAACTGGCACTGTGTGTGACATGGGCCATGGGTACCCCACGCAGTGGCTTAACCCTTTGAAGCATGACACCTACCCCATGGGGATACTGTTTCTTAAAACTCAATCCTAGCAGCCAAAGCCAGGAGCCTTTAAAGCTTACTCTGTGCTCTGAATCTCTTTTCTTCCAGGGTCGCTGGGACGGGGCAGAGAGCACTGCTCCAGAAGGCAAACCAGGTTGTGATTCTGACTGCCCCAAGCTCTTAGAACTCACTACCCAAAGCTGGTGCCTGGACCAGCGGTCGCCATGCCCTGGGACCTGCTTAGAAAGCCAGGATCTGGCCGGCGCCGCGGCTCACTAGGCTAATCCTCCGCCTTGTGGCGCCGGCACACCGGGTTCTAGTCCTGGTCGGGGCGCCGGATTCTGTCCTGGTTGCCCCTCTTCCAGGCCAGCTCTCTGCTGTGGCCAGGGAGTGCAGTGGAGGATGGCCCAGGTGCTTGGGCCCTGCACCCCATGGGAGACCAGGAAAAGCACCTGGCTCCTGGCTCCTGCCATCGGATCAGCGCGGTGCGCCGGCTGCAGCGCGCTGGCCACGGTGGCCATTGGAGGGTGAACCAACGGCAAAGGAAGACCTTCCGGGCCGGCGCCGTGGCTCAATAGGCTAATCCTCCGCCTAGCGGCGCCGGCACACCGGGTTCTAGTCCCGGTCGGGGCGCCGGATTCTGTCCCGGTTGCCCCTCTTCCAGGCCAGCCCTCTGCTGTGGCCAGGGAGTGCAGTGGAGGATGGCCCAGGTGCTTGGGCCCTGCACCCCATGGGAGACCAGGAAAAGCACCTGGCTCCTGGCTCCTGCCATCGGATCAGCGCGGTGCGTCGGCCGCAGCGCGCCGGCCGCGGCGGCCATTGGAGGGTGAACCAATGGCAAAGGAAGACCTTTCTCTCTGTCTCTCTCTCTCACTGTCCACTCTGCCTGTCAAAAATAAAAAAATAAAAAAAAATAAAAATAAAAAAAAAAAAAGGAAGACCTTCCTTTCGGTCTCTCACTGTCCACTCTGACTGTCAAAAAAAAAAAAAAGAAAAGAAAAGAAAGGCAGGATCTGCCTGAAAGCTGATGCCGGCGTTGTTTTCGCGTGAGGCTCCTCGGTGATTCCGGAGCATTGTCAAGGTGAGAAACCCTGGCCCAAGGCCCCTGGGGGCCACACACCTTCAGAGTCTGGGTGCACCAAACAGCTCGTACCCACCCCGGCGCAGCTTGTCTGACGGCCCCTCACTGGCTTGTTTCCTCCCAACCTCACGCCTTCTCTACAGTCTATATAGAGTCTCCCTCCCCTCCCACCAAGCCTGTACATCTCTCTCGTCCCCGGGTCAGCCCCTCGCAGGGCTGCACCTGTCTCCATCACCTTCCATCTGGCCTCCTACTAAGCTGCCCTTGCCTGAGAGAGGGCTGAGAGAAGTTTAAAGTTTTCTTTCCTAAATTACTTTTTTGAGAGACAAGCGAGGGAGAGCAAGCGAGCTATTGGCCCCACCCCCCGGTTTACTCCCCAAATCCCCACAGAGGCTGGAGCTGGGTTAAAGTGGAAGCCAGGAGCTGGGCATTCAATCCAGGTTTTCAATGTGGGTGGCAGGAACCCAACTACCTGTGCCATCGTCACTGTCTCCCAGGGACTGCAGTGGCAGAAGCTGAAGTGAGGAGCAGCAGCCAGGTATGGAGCTCAGGTACTCAGCGTGAGATGCAGCCATCCAAACAGCCGGGTACACCCCGCATGTGTGAGCCTTGCTGATGACACCCTGAGGGGGTGTGGATGCTCATGTGGCAAGAAATTAAGCAGCATTCCTTTTAAATAAGCTCAGCTTATATGGAAATGGGACCACTTTCTACGTCTCTGGTTAACTGGCAGAACCACTAGAAATGTGCACAAGCCAGGGTCACCTCCTTTACGGAACTGGCCACGCCCCCTGTGTGACTGCCCTGGCAGGTGTCTGCTGCACCTCTCCAGGAGCAAGGAGCTGGCCCTGAGTGTGCACAGAACCTTCTTGACTTGAACTTGGCGATGGTGTTTCTGCCACGTCCGTGCCCTGGATGAAACTGGGTGTGCATTGTGATTCTGGGAGGCTGCTGGAAATTGTCTATTTCCTGCTCTTAGAAGTGGATCCAATTATATCCACCCAGGCTAAAAGAAATGTACTTCTGTCTCCCCAGACTCCGGAACGTGACTTTGCACACCAAGACCATCGCTGGGAAGTCACAATGCCATTTGCAGTTGGTTGATGGATTTTGCTTCTTCGTTGAAAGGACAAAGAAACGTGGAGAAAGAGGTTAAAGATGGGGGAGGCATGGGGAAGACATTTGTTTGGCCATTCCATAAGGGATGATACCATTTCCAAAATTCATAGTGTTAAGAACCAAAAAGCTATAGCCCCCCCCCTCCCCAGGAGCTTCCAGCTAAAGGAAGCAAACAGCACAACCTGTATGAGTCTTCTTAAAAGTTCACACATATGCATATTATGAAAAAACTACATGTGGGTTTCAAAAACATTAACACCAAAAACCCCATGTTTTAGTTGCATTTTCCACAAACTTGACAGCCCCTCAGACAGCTCCTGGTGCTGCAGGAACGTGCAGGTGCACTGTCTCCCAAGGACTGCGGCGGCAGGAAGCTCAAGTGAGGAGCTGGAGCCAGGTATGGAGCTCGGGCAGTCAGTATGGACGTTTCTGTGTATTACAGAGGTAATTTAAAGTCAGCCCAGTTATGATTTCAACCATCAGTGGCACTTATTTCGGAAGTTTCTATGTATTACAAGGTACATATTCCTTGTCCCTCCCTATTCCTCCCCTCAAAATCCAAAAAAAAAAACCAGTTTTTGTAAGATTTGTTTTTATTTATTTGAAAGGCAGAGTTACTGAGAGACAAAGGGTGAGGTGGAGAGATCTTCCATCTGCTGGTTCGCTCCCCAAATGGCTACAACGGCTGGGGCTGAGCCATCTTCTGCTGGCTCTCCCAGGCACACTAGCAGGGAGCTGGATCGGAAGTAGAGCAGCTGGGACTTGAACGGGACCCCATATGGGATGCCAGTGTCACAGGCAATGGCTTTACCTGCTTTCACAACAATGCCAGCCCCAAAAAAGACTCTGAAGAAAACAAAACTTCATGTATAAAAATCTCATCTGATTTCTTTAAAGTCTTAGGTTAAAAAAAAAAAAAACTTAATGGAAGATTCTTTACCACAGAACTGCTTTTTTTTTTTCAATCTATCCTTGTATTCACTACAGATGTCTACTCCTTCCTAGGGAAAAAATGGTCAATGCTTCTGCTTCCTTTAAATAAGTTCACTTCTTGATTACACATTATCATTCCTCACTTGACACCTCCTTAAAAACTTGATTGTTGGATGCATTTTGCACTTGGCAAAAATTCAATGTGGCTTTGCGTGGGATGTCTAAGTGTCAGGAACAGCAGTGCTGATTTCTGGTTTTGAGAGGGAAAACAGAGAGAGAGATGCATACATTCCCTACAAATGCAGGGGACTGAAAGGGGGCATACACAGAGGCACGACTTGGTTTTGAATTCTGTGGCTGTCAGCCACTAAACGACTGCAGTGTGGGCCGGAATATGAATCTCCCAGGAAGAAGTTTGGTCCGGCACTCAGAAGTGGGTCTGCTTCATTCTGTCCTAAGTGGGCTGCAGCAGACACACACGAGGAGAAGGATGGTCACGCCCAGTGAGCACATCCTGTCAGGGTGCACTTCTGCCCAGGCTTCCCTAACTCCATGATATGCCAGGCCAAAACGAGCTGTAGAGTTACATGTCATTCTAGGTCACGTGGAAGCTGGCTGGCCGAAGACCTGGGTGTGCCCACGAGGTCTACCCAGAAGGGTATGCCTTAATGATCTTCACATCGTCCACAGGGCGGTCTTGGGAGTTGGTTTCCACCATTCCCACTCGATTCACCATTCCTATACCCTGGCACACTCGGCCAAAAATGGTGTGCTTGCCGTCAAGCCACTGGGTCGGTGCGAGGGTCACAAAGAACTGGCTGCCGTTGGTGTCTGGCCCTGCGTTGGCCATTGCGAGAATTCCAGCCCCTGGTGGGAAACAGGAGGAGAGGAATGACTCCCACAGCCCCAGTGCAGAGCTGCCACACCATCCTTGGCCTCTGTCACCAACCGCCCAGACCTGGCCAGCCTCCCCTCGGGGCAGCCTCTCTGCCCAGCACAAAGGACACTGCCGCACTGCCCTAATGACCTCAACTCCCCGTCCTCGCCCAGGCTCAGCCCCTCAGGACCCCTCCTAACTGCTACACCATGTTCCCGGTGCCTCTCAGAAGCCCAGCAAAGTCTGCTGTTTGAAGAAGCCTCTGCTACCCCAAAGTCTGTGACATTCAATATGCAGTTCAGCGTCCAGGACACTCAGCCCGGCACTTGAACTGCTCAGGACTCGGTGAGAGGCACTATTTTCTCTCCTCCGCCAGGGCTCTCTCTGGCGCCACTGCTGGGCAGCTACCTGGCACCTTTCCACGGCATCAGGCAATCACCCTGACTCACAGCCAAGAGAGCAAGCTTTTAAAATCTGGCCCCCTCCCTACCCAGTGCAGCCAGATTATACACTTACCAGTGAATTTCAAGTCTGGATGAAGTTCGTCTTCAAACTGTTTGCCATAGATGGATGCACCACCTCGACCTGCCAGGTTAGAAGACGAGAGATGAACCAGCCAGGTCCACATCCTACCTCACTGCAAGGACGATGGCCCAGGGGCAAAGAACTTTACACAGCATAGGAAAGGAAAAGGCAGTGAGCACGCCTAGCCCCCGCTAGGTCTATTACAATACAAAATCAAGCACTAACACAGTACATTCAAATCACTGGTTTCATTCAGGTAAGACGTTTCCTTTCAAAATAACACTGAGTGTTTTTCCCTGCTTATTTAAACTAATGTATGTTCATTGTCAAAATGTAGAAAACACCAATTATCAAAAGAACATTAAAGGGGTGGGCACTGTAGCACAGTGGGTTAAGATGTCATTGGGATGCCCACAGCCCATATGGGAGCATTGTTTAAGTCCTGGCTGCTTCGCTCCTGACTCAGCTCCCTGCTAATGCATCCCAGGAAGCAGCAGATGATGGTTCAAGTGCTTGGCCCCTGCCATCCACATGAGAAACTTGAATGAAATTCTGGGCTCCTGGCTTCAGCCTGGCCCAGTCCTGGCTATTGTGGACATTTGGGGAGTGAACCAACAGACGGAAGACCTTTCTCTCTGTTTCTCCTTCTCACTGTCTGTAACTCTATCTCTCAAATGAATAAATAAAATCTTTTAAATAATTTTTATTTGTTTATTTGACAGAAGGAGAGATTGAGACAGACATAGAGAACACTCCTGTCCACTGGCTGACTTCCCAAATGTCTTTGATGGCCAAGTCTGGCCAGAGTTGGGAGCCATCACCACTGCTTCCCAGAGACTGCATTCTCAGGAGGTTGGAGTCCAGGAAGCAGAGGTGGGTAATGGACCCAGGTACTCAATTTGGGATGCAGATGCCTCAACCACTAGGCCGAATGCCTATCCTTGAGTTTCGACTTGTCTCCCAGTTCTTACCAACCCAAAACCTCCACGCAGCCAGCACTAACAGAGGGCACGACAGGTAAAGCCTACCTGCCACCCTTAGGCTAGACGACAGAAAAAGAGTCATTGAGTCAAAGCCATCCAGCTTCAGGAGAAACAGGGGCCGTGTGAGTGGCAACGTGGCGGAAAAGAACAGTAGCACAAAAGAGCACGGACAGAGAGGTCGTAGATCAGAAAGGGGAAATGAAGAAACCTGGAGCTGGGAACGATCTGCTACCGCGCCACCAGCAAGTGTTACTGGCATCCCAAGAGCAGGGTGCTGTGCTGGACACCCTAAGTTGGAGCAGGATTTGTTCTTGGAGCCCAAGGTCCTATGTTCAATATGGTTTTCCCATAGGAAAACATATGTCACACTGGTAATGCCACAACTTTACCAACTAACTGTATTTTAAATATTTATTTATTTACTTGAAAGGCAGAGTGACTGAGCAACAGGGAAAGCCAGAGAGATCATCCATCTGCTTGTTAGCTCCCTAAATGGCTGCAACAGCTGGAACTGGGCCAGGCTGAAGCCAGGAGCCAGGAACTCCATCCTGGTCTCCCACAGGGCCGGCAGGCACCCAAGCACTTGAAGCGTCATCCCCTGCCTTCCCAGGTGCATTAGGAAGGAGCTGGATCAGAAACAGAGCAGCTGGGACTCAAACCAGCACTCTGAGATAAGATGTGGGCATTGCAAGTGGTGGTAGCTTAACCTGCTGCACCGCAACACTGCCCTTATCAACCAGTTTTAATCAGTTGCATAGTCAATCATTTGCCTTGTTGAACTGCACTGGTTTCTTCAACTTGACTCACAGCCAAGACAAAACAGCATGGAACAAAGTGAAGGCTGGACTCAGCTTACTCTGCTTGCTTGGCATCCATGAAACAGCCTTGAGCAGGGGGCCCCCTCCTTGTAGAGCTGCCACCAAAATCGCATGTTAAAGTCACGTCCACCCACCGCCCCAGCCCCTAGGTGTGGCTAAGGTGTTTCCATGGCAAACATCTTTTGCTTTACCTTTTAGGCTGCTCCACCACAGAGTGCCTGTCAAAGCCCCCGGTTCTGACTCCAGAAGAAACACTGTTTTCATGCCAACAGGAATGGGGGTGAATCCTAACGTGCTGGGAAAGCCTCCCACCTGGCCCAGGCTACCCCTGCTTCTGGAAGATTCCTGCACTGTACAAACTACGTAAAATCCACTCCCCTAACGGCAGGCTGCTACACTTCCACAGGGGTTACATAACCTGCACGCTCCCTCGGCCGTGCCCCTTCCTTTGCTCAGCCCTTCGGCAGTCACTGGAGGGAAGGCTCCCGCCTGGTGCTACTGGCAGTGCTGGGGCTGAAGGTGAGAGAAGAGGGAGAGGGCTGGGGGACCACAGAGAGGCCAAGCCATGGATCTGTTCAGGAATGCCCTGCTGGTCCCCAGGCTGAGCCTTCCAGGTGAGCCTTGTAGAATCAGAAACCGTCTCATACACACGGCCACAAACGAGGAGAGGACCAAGAGGCAGGCCAGTCAAGAGCCACAAATGAAGCTTTGGATTTTAAGTGATCAGAGACCAGAGGAAATAGCAGGGAGGGGGCTCAGCACTCACTGGGCACAGCGTGCCCGAATGCAGCTGGTCGGGGCCTCTCCAGCACCGTTCACTCAAATGTGATGTTTCTGTAACCCAATTCAGCTCAGTAGGATTTGCACCAAAATGCCAGAAGGACGAAGAGCTCTCTGACTTACAGATACAAACAGCAGTCCGCTGAGAAAGCTACACCAGCACTCCTGATAAAGAGGGACAAAGGCACTCCTGTCTTTCATTATAGCTCTTTCCCCATCTGCTGCTTTGAAAGCAAGGAGATGTCCAGAGCAGCAGCAGCCACTGTGCAACTGTAAGATGAATTTGCGACCAAAGGCCAACGTGCTAAGACTGGTGAAGTGGACAGACACAGCAAGCCCGGGGCCTGACAACTCCTAACCTCCACACTTTTTGTCATGTGAGAAAATCAAACAGCCATTGTGGTTTGAGTTTTCTGTGATCTGGAGCCCACGGCACTGCTCACTGATAGGAAGAGGGACCTGACTACCGGAGTAGCTGCAGGTTCACCCTCAGAGGCGCCACCACTACTTTCTAAGGGGCTCTGCAGTTCTCAGGATGGAGCCTTTTCACTTGCCTTTGGGGTCAGAGAGATCTGGATTCCAGTTCTGACCCCACCAACTGTTTAGCCTTAAGCAGGATCCTTAATCTCTCTGGGCCTCAGTTTCGGTTTCGTTGTCTGCAAAAAGGAATAGTACAACAGGTTGAATATCCCTTTTGTAAAATGTTTGGGACCAGAGGAGTTTCAGACTTGGGACTATCGGCATAGACCTTACTATTTGAGCATGGTTAATCTAGAAACCCGCAATGCTCTGAAATTGGAAAGTAAACCTCGGATTTGGGGTCAGGTTAGGGATGCCTGCCTCTAGTACCTCAGTTGAAGCTTGTTAGCGAGAATTAAAGGTCACAAGTCAGAGAGCAAACACACAGCAGTATTAGTGAAGAGAGGACCTGGCCATTTGCCAAGACAGACAGCTTAGGCCCCCAATACAGTGCCACTTGGGAGGCACTCAGTCTGGGCACAGCCCAGCTCTGCTGTCCTCAAACCTCCACCGCTCCCTCCCTGCTCTTTGCTCCTTGAGTATAACCTTGCTTCTTATTTTACCAGAAAAAAGAAAGTATTGAAAAAAGAACTTTCACGTACATGCTCACCACCAAATCCACTTCCCTCCCTTCCTCCACGTGGTAAATATGCTGTTCATGGGATCACACCACTGACACAGACCTCATCCTGTCACCTTAAAGAAATCTGCAACTACAATTCTCCCTTCTGTATCAAGTCTGCTTTTCCTAATAGATCGTCCTATCAGCAGGTGAACATGATATTAGTATTTCCTATCTTAAAAAGCAAATGAACAGAAACTCCATCTTCACCTGTTTCCCTACTTCTCTGTATCCCTTCACAGAAAACTAAAAAAAAAAAAAGTTGATACCTGGTGTTTATACCTCTACTCCTATTCTATTTGAGAGGCAAAGAGAATACACCTCCATCCGCTGTTTATTACCAAAGGCCCAAAGTGTCCAGAGTTGGATCAAGCTGAAACAGGGTCCTAGGAACTCAATCCAGGTCTCCTGCACGAGTGGTAGGGATCCAGTGACTTGAGCCACGACTGTGGCCTCCCAGGTTGCACACCAGCAGGAAGCTGGAGTTGAAAGGAGCTGGATTCAAACCCAGGATGTGGGTGTCCCAGCTGGCAGCTTACCTGCTAGGCCAAATGCACCTGCACTCCTTGCAATTATCTTTCTATTTAAAAAAATTTAAAAAAAAAGTAATTTAACTAATTTGTTAATTTTCACTTATTTGAAAGGGAGAGACAAAGACAGAGACCTTCCAGCCACTGGTTCACTCCCCAAATGCCCAGGATAGCTGGGCTGGGCCATGCCAAAGCTAGGAGATGGGAACTCAATCCAGGTCTCCCATGTGAGTGGCCGGGACCCAAATACACGAGCCATCACCTGCCACCTCACAGGGTACGTATCAGGAGGCGGCTGAAATCAGAAGTAGAGCAGGGACTCAAATCTAGACAATGATAAGGGAAGTGGGTGTCCCGAGCTGCATTTTAACTGCTCCGTCAAATGCCTGCCCTCCACTTTTTCTCTTGGACACTGTCCACTAAAACTGCTCATCAGGATCTCCAGTGACTCCCAGAGGGCAATGCTCCATCTGCCAGTCTTCTTTACTTGACCCACAAGCAGCATCGGACAGCTGATGTCACCCTCTTCTCGAAGGGGTTTCCAGGACTCTAAAGTCTCCTGGAATGAACTGAGTCCAAAAAAAATCTCTCAAAAGCTACTTCTCTCTCTGCCTTGATGTCTGCTTCCCACTGGACCAGAACTAAATGGCTGCTATCACCTTAACCCCACCCAACCACAGTCCCGGACTTCAGCTTCAACCACACAGTAGCTTCCCACTGGTCTCCCTGCTTCTAGCCTCACCTCCCACTTTCCCCAGTGGGTTCCTCACAGGGCAGCCAGGAGGGGGATCCTTTTAAACCAACTCTG